CTTACATCCCCTGTTCTTTAAAGTAAAAGTGCATAATATAGGTAAAAATCAGTAAAAAAATAAATCACAATTGTTTGTCAGGAACTGTAAACTAATTTAGTTCAAACAGAATTCAACATTCTATGAGGAACACTTTATAACGTATTGTACCTGTCACCAAGAACTGCTGGAAAAGCTAGGTTTTAATTATATTTTTAAATCCGAGTAAAGTTGGAATCATAGACATCTCAAGAGGAATGCTGTTTCAAAGAAAGATAATAGTGCAATATATTCAATTATTGATTTGTTACAATGTTCTTACCTTCTTTTAATTGTAGCTAGCTGATAACCTGGCATTGCCCGGGTATTTATTGATCCCAATCCTGTATTAGACAGAAAAAGGAATGAATTATATCTATAGCGTCAAATCAAAGTAATTTTATTTACAGGGTTTTGAAAGACACTTGGGCCTGGGCTTGTTACCAGTTGTAGAAGAAAGCTGGTTCAACCACTGTGGTGAGAATTAGAGATCTAATTGCCCTGGCCAACAGCCTGGGAAAAATTCTACAGGGAACAGCCTTTGAGGTGATTATCTGCATTAGCAGGCACCTCCCCCGACAACTTGCCCTCTTTGCTTGAAGCTGAGGGCCTAAGGTGTTTAGGTTTTTTTTTTTAAAGAACCAATCCCCCTTACCAGAGGGAGCCCCCTTGTGGACTACTGTGATGCCGTTACCATGGCAACTCCACTGTGCTGTACAGTAGAAGCCATTTTAAGGCACAACAGGCTGTATCTTAACAGAACTTGAATCCAAAATGCACAGTATCACTGTCAAAAGTACTGTGATTTGACACTATAGAAATAATTCATTCCTTTTCATTTCAGCAGCCCAGGCGTTCCAGAGTTATGCTGGAACATACACACCCAGACACACACACACACACACCGAGGGGTATTAGGGGTGTCTTACCCACCCACCCACAGTATTTCTTTCCAGAGAGTAAGTCATCTGTGTACCAAGTTTGGTTGAAATTGCTTGAGGAGTTCCAGAGTTATGCTGGAACATACACAAACGTGCACACACAGAGCCATTTTTATATATACAGATTAGCCAGCCAGAGTCATGTACTGAGAGAAGTGACATATAAACTGATTGCCTCCTTTTAAGAAAATGTATCTGTGAGACAATTTTTTCTGCTTTTAATTATCTCCAAATTTGAGGTGATCATGAGAAATTTTGTTCCTTTATTCTTATACAGCATTATTTATCTATCAGAAGGCAGTCATTAATCTTTATTAAGTCTTGACTGATTCAAGTAAGCTTTGTTGAATAAACCATTGTGGCCTGGTTCAAGTCATTATTTAATATAATATATGCAAGTAGATAGTAAAAAACAATGTAGCAAGTACATTGTTAAAATACAATAACACCATTTCCCTAAGAATGCATTCACGTAATCAATTTATAAAAGATGTGTTGCTATTAACAGAGTTACATTTGTTAAGAATAAGATTTTGCAATATGCTTCCCCCAGGAGTGGGGAGGGAATGGGGATTTTGCAATATCCTTCCCCCAGGAGTGGGGTGGGAATGGAGATTTTGCAATATGCTTCCCCCAGGAGTGGGGAGGGAATGGGAATTTTGCAGTATCCTTCCCCTGGAGTGGGGTGAGAATGGAGATTTTGCAGTATCCTTCCCTTGCCATGCCCACCAAGCCACATAATGCCCACCAAGCCACGCCCACAGAACAGGTAGTAAAAAAATTTGGATTTCACTCCTGCAGTCAATGCTAAATCACTTATAAAATTTGGAAGCAACTTCATGACATGGAGTTTCAAGTCACGAAAGTGACTGCAGTTTGAGATGCATGTGCAAATCCAGAAAAGTTTACTTAATAATTTTTTTAAATCACTAAATTTGATTCCAACTTAAATTAACTGCATTTATATAATCTTTAGCGAAATCAGGCACAAAGCTTTTTCCCTCCTTAATATATTTTGTGGCTGAAACAATAAATTGAAAAATACAAAGAAGGGGCTAGGAAAACATTGCCATCTGGATCTAGTAAAGTTCTGCAAATGAGGCAAGGCAGTTACGTATAAAAATCATACTGGAGCTTAATTAAATCATGTGCTACCTCGGTCTATTGATTTTAACAGGAACTAAGTAGAGCTAATGTAATCTGGATCTAATCCAAGGCTATTATTTGTAGGAACACCAACCGTTTTTAAATGTCATAAAGTCACTTTTAAAATTACTTGGATGAAGGTTTATTTGGCAAATAACATGGAGATAGTTTGCCATTACCTCCCTCTGCAAGGCTCTTGAGACTTTCAGACCCTAGTGTACCCCAGAGGCTGAGTTGACTTCAGGGCAAATACAGATCAGGTGTAAAAAACGAAAGCAAAGCTTATACTCCCCAATAAAACTTTGGTTTCTTTTTCTAATGTCCATTTTCTCGCAAATATTCAAATGAAAACACTTTGGAGTCTGAGCCTTGTATCAGTTCTCCATATAAGTAAAATATGAGTAATTGGGAAGTTTAAGGCTAATTATTTGGCCTTTTCCTTACATCAGGGGTATCAACTCAAGGCCTAGGCGCTGGATTCGGCCCACAGAGTGCTTAGATCTTGCCCACGGGACTGCCCTGGAAACAGCAAAGGACCGGCTTGCGGTGTTATGGAATGATAGGACCAAACAACATTCCTGGGTCAGCCAGAGACAGTTTTATTGCGCAGTTTCAGAACCAGATTTGTATCTGCAATTCTGAACAAAGAAGAGCTCTGATACAACTGCTTTTATACATATCCAAGACAAAGGATTTTGCGAGCACAGCAGTTTTCCATATATGGTTAACATACATTTGTTACATTATAATTGACACTTTCTAATTACTAAATTCTTTCATTATTTTCTAGTTCATAAGATTATCTTAGCTAAACAACCTTCCTCAATTCTGGGTTTGCTGATGCGTAGATTCATGATTGCTTTGGATAATAAGTATCTTTTTGTTACATATGGATGTCTTTGCATCCTTGACAGCTAGGCCCCTCAGAAGATATATATTACATATGGATGTCTTTGCATCCTTGACAGGTAGGCCCCTCAGAAGATATATATTACCAAGAATGGAATTTAGCTGATTTAGTGTAATCTCTAAACAAGCACATTTTTTTCTTATAATAATGTGAATAAAGAGGGTCCTTCAGTGTTCATATAGCTGACCCTGTAGTATTTCTACATCATTCACATTAGCGGTGCCTCTGCCAGCAAAAATGGAGCTCAGGAGGGCCGCGGGCGGGAATGGGGTGGGAATGGAGATTTTGCAGTATCCTTCCCCTGCTATGTCCAGCAAGCCACACCCACCAAGCCACACCACGCCCATCAAGCCACGCCCACAGAACCGGTAGTAAAAAAATTTGGATTTCATCCTTGATGCAATCCCTCTGATTTTTCTACTTGTGTAATTTGCCCATAGTAAAAAATTAACCCGCGGGATATAGTCTAGTTATTTCTATGGTATCACTATATTGACTTATTGATTTTTATTTTTTAAATTATTATCAATTGTTAGAGCCATCTTTAAAAATGCAAATATTCAGTTATTGCAATGGTTCTCTTAGCTCATTAGTCTCTATGTCATAATCACTCCTTTGCAGTATATATTATTACTACTAATTAGAGGTGGGTTTCAGCAGGTTCTGACCAGTTCGGGAGAACCGGTAGGGGAAATTTTGAGTAGTTCGAAGAACCGGTAGTAAAAATTATGACTGGCCCCGCCCCCATCTATTCTCTGCCTCCCAAGTCCCAGCTGATTGGGAGGAAATGGAGATTTTGCAGTAACCTTCCCCTGGAGTGGGGAGGGAATGGAGATTTTACAGTATCCTTCCCGTGGAGTGGGGTGGGAATGGAGATTTTACAGTATCCTTCCTCTGGAGGGTGGGAATGGAGATTTTACAGTATCCTTCCTCTGCAGTGGGGTGGGAATGGAGATTTTACAGTATCCTTCCCCTGCCACGCCCACCAAGCCACACCCACAGAACCGGTAGTAAAAAAATTTGAAACCCACCACCGCTACTAATTTGTATAATCCCTGCAGGCATAATATTAATACCAAACATATTTTTTTTAAGATTTCAGTAGTACAATGATTTTATATTTCTTATTAGCTCTTTTTAATATTTTTAGTCATCACTTAAAGTTTCACCTAAACTTTACCAATTCTCCCTGCATTAATTGTTGTGTTTAAATTTTTAAACTTGTAATTTTAGTTGTATTGGTATCACGGTTTATAGTTTGCACTAGCTATTTATTTCATTGAGAGGGATGTTATCCTATATTTCAAAATTTTGTTTTGCTGGTCAGTGCTGGAATCAAGATGACTTTATGTTGCTTATTTCTTTTAAAATGTCTTCCCTGATCTACAGTTAAAGTTTTCAGAGTAATTTGTAATTATTATTTTTAAAAAAACCCTTCTATGTTCCAATAGATTTCCAAACTAAAAGACACAACACAAAAGGAATATTGGGCATTAATAATACCATAAATTCTTTAGCAGTAGATAGTTTACATTAGCAATACATTAGATGCAATGAGGTCTACTTATATTTAAAATAAAAAACAAATTGTACAAACATTGACCCATCAGTAAATTGTTGAAACCATTAAAGAATTTGGTGTTATGATTGCAGTCATAGATTGGAAATAAATCCAACTTATTTCAAAGTAAATATGCTTCAAATCTAATTTTAAATTGCCCTTTTAAGTTTAAATATGGGCAATTTGTACATTTTATTTAAATATGTACATTTTGATATCGTAGGTAGAGCTTAATTAATTAATTAGGTTAAATTAGTTTAAATGGCTTGAATGCTAAAAGCAACTGCAATTGCTGAATCTTAGAAATGCTGGGCCTAACTCACCAAGTGCTATTAGAAGGCATTTTTTTTTCTTAATAAAGATTTTATTTTTGCATTCTGTATGAAAATATATTGTGTGTGTAAACCAAATGTTCATCCTGCAGTGTCAAAAGGTGAAGAAGTACAAATATCTATGGTAAAACACTACAGAACTGGCCTTGAAGAGAAGTATGAAATATCTGAAAAATGGCTTCTAGATGATTTGGAGATGATAGATGGAAAAGAGGCAGATTCTGTAAGTGCTGCATTTTATTACAAGGCATATATTCTGTTGTTGATGTTATAATAGCTAGAATGTAAATGTCTGTGGAGATTCTCAGTCATCCGGGTCATAGTTGTCTCAAAGGTGCTTTTTCAAAAGGCAACTGGACTGTTTTTTCCTTGAGGAGAACGTTTTGCTTCTCATCCCAGAAGCTTCATCAGTTCAGGCAGGACGGTGGGAGTGATGGAAGGATTAGTACTGACTGGATTTGGGGGAGGTTGGAAGGATCATATTTCTCTGCAGTCATCCGGTCATTAGTACTCTCCCTGAGAGCTCTTTAGGCCAATTCTGTCCCCTCAGGATTACCTGTATCAGAGTTCAAATGGGGGAGGAAAGTTCTTGGAACTGCTGAAAGGACATCTTGTAGTCATGAGATAGATGGTGTCTGTTGAGAGAGGGCTGCTCGATGTTAACATAAATGACCTCTTTTACCCCTTTTTCAAATCAATGGTCAAAAAGAGGCCATTTATGTTAAAATTGAGCAGTCTAGTACAGTGGTGGGTTTCTACCGGTTTGCCCCGGTTTTGGGCAAACCAGTAGTGGCGGTGACGGGAGACTCCGCCCACCCACCCTGATGTCATCATGGATGCTCTTCGCCAGAGGTAGGTTTCAGGAGGTTCTGACCAGTTCTGGAGAACTGGTAGCGGAAATTTTGAGTAGTTCTGAGAACCGGTAAATACTACCTCTGATTGGCCCCGCCCCAATCTATTCTCTGCCTCCTGAGTCCCAGCTGATCGGGAGGAAATGGGGATTTTGCAGTAACCTTCCCCTGGAGTGGGGAGGGAATGGAGATTTTACAGTATCCTTCCCCTGCCACACCCACCAAGCCATGCCCACAGAACCGGTAGTAAAAAATGTTGAAACCCACCACTGCTCTGCGCATACGCAGAAGTGCCACGCACGAGAGAAGAGACGCACGCACTCACACGCCCACAGTTCCGAACCGGTAGCGAAGGTAAATGAAACCCGCTACTGGTCCAGTGTCAACAAAGGGGAAAGGAGAAGACACCAACTATCTCCTGCCTACAAGGAGGTCCTTTCAGCAGTTCCAAGAAGATTTCGCCCCCATTTGAAGTCAGGGTACCAGGAAGTACAGGGTTATACAGTCCAGGCAAGGTAATTGAATCACTAAGTATGAATATAGCAATTGCAAATCACTGTTACTGTTGCAAAATGAAAAAGAGAAAATGAATGTGAATAGGCAGGAATGTGCCTATTTTGACACTATAACTTCAGCATCACCAAAGGGAGCCTTTACTCATGCTGTCTTTGCCACATCCTTGGCTGATTGTTAATTGTTGCTGTATTTGAAGCTATACTGGGAAAACTTCCAAAACATCGTAGTTAGACTGCATGCCTCGCTAAAAGATCTCATTAATTGACAGCTGGTTTCCAACCACAATTGATCTGATATTCTAATCATCTCTCTTGCCGCCTCGGTCAAACCTTCCTTATTTTGCATGCGGATAAGAGCTCTTTTTGTCCCTACACTGCTTTCAGAAGAACAAACAACACAAATCTCTTTTCTTTTTTTGCCAGATCTTAGAAGGGCAATGGTTCTTTATAGCGGGGGTCTCCAACCTTGGCAACTTGAAGACTTGTGGACTTCAACTCCCAGAATTCCTCAGCCAGTTGGCTGAGGAAATCTGGGAGTTGAAGTCCACAAGTCTTCAAGTTGCCAAGGTTGGAGACCCCGCTCTATAGTACATTTTACAGGTAGTCCTTGATTTACAAACAAGGCAAAGCTGGCTCAGGAATTCTAGGAGTTGAAGTCCACAAGTCTTCAAGTTGCCAAGGTTGGAGAATCCTGCTATATAGTACATTTTACAGGTAGTCCTTTTTTTTTTTTTTTTTAATTTGATTTATATGCCGCCCTTCTCCGGAAACTCAGGGCGGCTTACAATGCGTTAAGCAATAGCCTTCATACTTTTGTATATTTTATACAAAGTCAGCTTATTGCCCCCACAAACTGGGTCCTCAATTTACCTACCTTAGAAAGGATGGAAGGCTGAGTCAACCTTGAGCCCGGTGAGATTCGAACTTACAGTAATTGCAGACAGCTGGTGTTAATCACAATGCTATCAGTCTGCTGAGCCACCAGGCCCTTGATTTACGATCAAACAAGGCAAAGCTGGCTGAGGAATTCTGGGAGTTGAAGTCCACAAGTCTTCGAGTTGCCAAGGTTGGAGACCCCTGCTCTATAGTACATTTTACAGATAGTCCTTGATTTACAATCATTCATTTCGTGACTGAAGTTTCAACGGCACTGGAAAAAAGTAACAAGACCATTTTTCACACTTAACAATCAGCATCTCCATGGTCATGTGATCAAAATTTGGACAATTGCAATTGGCATGTATTTATTATGATGGTCGCAGTGTCCCGGAGTCATATGATCTGTTTTTGTGACCTCACAAGCAAAGTCAATGGGGAAGCAAAGATTCACTTAACAACCGTGTTACTAACTTAATAACGGCAGTGATTTACTTAACAACTGTGGCGAGAAAGGTTGCAAAATGGGGCAAAACACCCTTAACAACTGTTTTAGCAATGGAAATGTTGGGCTCAGTTATGTCTACAAGTCACCTGTATTGTTTCATAGATGCTACTTTATATCTGCCATGTTATTTTAAATTCTGTGCTAGTCTGAATCTTCTTTCTGAGCAGAAAGGCAGCAAATAAAACATTATTTTTGTTCCTTTTAGGATAATCCATGGTTCGATTTGCATTTCAAGCAAGTTTACACTTGGGAAGCTTACAGCTGTGCATCTAAATACGCCTTTGCAAGAATAGTAAACCAGTTGAATGAGATGTACCTGCAAAAGGATCTGAAGATTGTGAACTTTGATTTTACCTACATTAATGACGCAGCACTCTGGTCATCAAATAATGGGGATTGCTTAGTACTTATGAGAATCTGCTTTTACGCATTCAATCTTGTGTGTCTATCTCTGTGCCCCCTGCCAGTTTGACGGTTGTAGCTACATCCAGATTTGAATATGGCTACCAAAAAGCTCGATATTCAGTACTATATCAGGGTTTCAATTTTCAAAACATTTTTAGCCAATTGTTTTTTCAGTCCTGATAATCGGTTTAAGTACCAATTTCCTGAAACCAATGTTTTTCAGCATTCACAAAGCATGTTCAGGTTAACTGTAAGTTCCACTGAATTTATCTGGCTTGCTTCTCAGCAGCCATTTATTTATTTCGGCTGCAAAGCTACAGAACACTCTGGTATGTGTTACTTTTGTATATTATTTCCCCGACTTTCCAATAGAAGCCATAAAGTCTTGCACAAATTATATAAACCCTGTGTAACTATGCACGCAGTGAATTTCTGTGGAGTTTTGTTGCCTTTGCAATAATTTTTCTGTGGACTTTTGAATAAAAACATTTCCACTGCCTTTGGTCCAACGATTCTGCAGCAAGTTGTGATGACCCCAAAATGCATAGTGATGCATTTTAACAAATGGAGTCATGAAAGAAGTTATGGCCTTGCATACTTGCATCTCAGCTTCTGATGTAAGCAAGGAACCCACTGTTCTGACCAAGGCCTCCTGAGTCAGGAAAACACAGGAGTAGTCCCAAAAACCTGTTTTATTTTAACAGCTGTGAATTCTGTTCATTCACAGATGAGTCCCAAATAGTTGTAAAGAGTCCTTCGGGATAAGGCTGATAATCACCCACCTTTATTTCCCTTGACACGCTGCCAACAACCTAATTGGCAAAGCCACACGGAGTCCAGAATCAAACAGACTTTAAACCGCACAGAATTAACGTTCCTTCCTGCAAAGGGCCCAAGTGCCTTTGCTCCTCTTTTAAGTCTTATGGGAGAGGCCAATCATCCCCAAGCCCTACTCCCAAGTTGTCCCTTTTGTTTTAACTGTTCTTGCCTTCTGGCAGCTCTGCGCATGCACGCACTGGGAACAGGCTCCCCCTGTTCCTCCGCCTCGTTGAGGTCTGACTCTGGAGGTTCCAGAGACAGTACGTACCTCCCAGATGGCCCTTTCTCTGCCTCCGATGCAGAGCCTTCATCTGAGCCTTCCTCAGACTCCAGGACTGGCCCATGTCCAGGGGTGGGTTCTAAATTTTTTTACTACCAGTTCTGTGGGTGTGGCTTATTTTGTGGATGTGGCTTGGAGGTCATGTGACTAGGTGGGCATGGCTAGCTGGTCAGAGTCATTTCTGGAAGGTCCTCACACTTACAACCAGTCCTCGCACTTACGACCCAATTCATTTGTTTGCTTTTAACACTGATCAGCTGTAGGGCGGCCCTTTGAAGCCCCACGGCAAGAGTTTAAACAGTTTTTTTCCCTCTGGTCATCAGCTGGGACTCAGGAGGCAACAATAGATTGGGGGTGGGACCAAATAAAAGGTAAGAATAACGTGGGGGGGAGGGCGGGGGGGAGAACCGGTTCGGTGATGTCATATCGTCACCGCTACCGGCTCGGCCGAACCGGACCGAACCGGGAGGAACCCACCACTGCCCATGTCCCTCCCCAGCCTCCTCACTGTCCGATTCTGCTGCCAGCTCTGCAGGCTGCTGGTGGACACCCACACTATTTGCATCATGAAGTCGTGGCATGCATTTTATCACCCTCAATGACTAATGTTTTGGTCTTTGAAAGAACCAAAATATAATGCATATGTATACCAGTTTGGGAGAACTAGCTGACACTAGTTTACATAATTTCTAACCTACCAAGATGAACTTCGTTCTCCACTCTTCACTAAGACTGAACATTTTTTTCGTGGCCCATCTGATGCTGCAAACTATTAGGTTTGGCTTGCTTGAAAATCCCAAGCTATGGCTGCTGTATTGTGTTCGGATTGCATGTTATCACCTTTATATGCTTCCATTATAAAAAAAAAAAAATGTGAGTGTTAAACTTTGGGTGCTGCAAATGGTTTCTCTCCATTTGCATCTGAACTAGCCAGGGTGTAGCTTACCAGTCTTAACATAATGACATATAAGTGTTTTATGTTATTGTACGAACCTTTTTTTCTACCATGAAACTAGTCAATGAATATCCACATTGATTGCATGCATGCTGTGTTTCAGTGGTGGGTTGCTACCGGATCGGGCAAACCGGTAGCAGCGGGAGGCTCCACCCACCCACCCGGCGCATGCGCACCCACGAGCAAACCGGTAGCGGCCGAAATTGAAATCCACTACTGCTGTGTTTGTAAGGAGCCAAAAAATCTGCTTATTATCACCAATTAGGAAATTATGGTACTCTTAAAGTCTGAAAAGGGATTTGATCTCAAGATTTAGATAAACAGATTTTTTAAAAATAAATTTTATTAAAAGTTTAAGATCATTAAAACTAACATAAACTATTACAGAATAAATAAAACAAAGACAAAGACAAAAGAAGGTGCAGAAAGATAAAATAGAAAGGATTTCTGTCCTTTGCAGCAAATATAAATACGCTTACAAACTTATCTCTTACTCTATAATTACCAAAAAGCTTTTTTCTATTATATTTTTTCTAAACATCAAAACAACTGAAAAGTGCGTTTTTTTCCCTGTTTCATGCAAAAAAAGTCTGTAAGGGTTTCCATAATTGTAGATAAGGTCCATTTAGCCACCTCTGAACATTCCGTCATCTTCACTAATCATTCCTTGGTTGTGTTGAACTTTTCCACTTTTGAATAGGAGTAATCTCACTGCAGTCATATACTAAAACAAAGCTTCATGGCAGCTGCCTGTCCATTTAATCCTAAAATAAAAAGTCTTTGGTATCCAATTCTGCATTTGTCTTTAAAATCTTCCGAATTATTTTATTCATCAATTCTTTTTTTATCTTTTATCTTCATATATATTTTGTTATCATCTTTGTCTTCTGTTTGTTAATCTTGAAACCTTCCAGTGCCCCAAATTCTTTTAATTTACTTATTAAAGTTCAATTCCCTTTTAAAGCACGGGTGTCAAACTCGATCACGTCACGTGACGTATTGCAACGTTTTTGCCTTTGCTGAGTCAGGGTACCGTGGCCTGCGCGTGACGTGTCCAGCCCGCAGGCCGCCAGTTTGACACCCCTGTGAGTGGCTGCCAAAACAAAAAACAAGTCATCCACTAAACAGAGGATTCTCAGTGCTGAATTACTTACTTAAATATTTATTTCTTGTCTGATCCCTTTTCACAAAAAGTTATACCACAATATGTTCATTACTTGAATATATTTTAGCAGAGTCACATCAATATTTTTGGGATGTATCAATTTGTCAAAACAGGACAAAAATCAGTTTTTTTTTTAAAAAATGTATATAGAGATCTTCAAAATCTAACATCCAAACCTCAAAACGTGAGGCAAATAGTTAACATTCTCAATATTTAAAAGACAAGAGAGTATAGTGATAGCTGTAAGAGAACTTTAAGACTTTTTGGAAGCAAAATCAATTAGCCAACTATAAATGCTCACCATTCATTTTTTTAAAAACGTGATGTAATTGTTATTTTTGTACTGAAAATTACGTGGCTCTATACTTGTTAAATTTCAACTGTTTCTCTATTGCTTTGGTCTTTATATGTTTTCAGTATATATCGTAAAATATAATGGATATGGAATTGGACAATAAATTTAAATTGTTGTGATGATACACTTGTTTCCATGTTCAAGGCTCAATAATTCAAATACCTTTAAGTTATTCAGTTAACTAAATACGGTATATGAAAATATATTTTGAAGAAAATATTTTTAATTGACAGAGATAGATTTCTGTTAAGATTTTATGATTATCTTTTTTTGTGATGTCATTCATTTAGCTAGAACTGATTCTATACTTAGTTATGATGTTTGCTGCTATGATGTGGTTTTAGGATGAGTCGAAAAACTATTAAAAAGAAATTTCTATATTAGTTTTGTCACATTTGTGTCAAGTCTGTGTTCGTTTTGATTTAAATATTTATTTAAGTGCCCTGCATTCCTGCACACTAAGGCAATGTAGGCAAGTACACAATACACAGTCAAATAAAAACACCTAAGCTTCATTCCCACAAAACCAAAGCACACATTTCAGTGGTGAAATCCAAATTTTTTTACTGTGGGCGTGGCTTGGTGGGTGTGGCAGGGGAAGGATACTGCAAAATCCCCATTCCTTCCCCACTCCTGGGGGAAGGATATTGCAAAATCTCCATTCCCACGCCACTCTGGGGCCAGCCAGAGGTGGTATTTGCGGGTTCTCCGAACTGCTCAAAATGTCCGCTACCAGTTCTCTAGAACCTGTCAGAACCTTCTTAAAAGCACCCCTGACACATTTAGACAAAGTAAATCTTGCCGGATAATGCAATGAGGGGGGGGACGGCTTTGGTTAATTGCTGCCTATGTTGGTCCTGTAAAAATAATTAATGAAGTGATCTAATTTAATTAGAGTTGGAGAAAGAGGTGCTTGCTCTGAATTAATGAGTGCAAATATAATTTCGATCCCGGGGGTTGTCCAGCACCACTTTAATTGATGCTCCACTCACCTATCAAATCAACAGTTTCCTTTCTTTCCTAGGAATGCATCATTGTAGAACTATGTTTTCAATCTGGGCAACTTTAAGATGTGTGACTTCAACATCCACTGGCTGGGGACTTCTGGGAGTTGAAGTCACATCTTACAATTGCCCAGGGGTAGGTTCATTGGTGGGATTCAACAAGTTCGCACCACTTCGGGAGAACCGGTTGTTAACTTTCTGAGCAGTTTGGCAAACTGGTTGTTGGATGAAATCATTAGGGCAGAGAACCGGTTGTTAAATTATTTGAATCCCACTGCTGGGTAGGTTCCACTACCGGTTCGCAACGGGAGTATGTACGCTTGCTTCACTCGCACACATGTGCTTCTGCGCATGCGCAGATCGTCAGTGATGATGTCAGGGTGGGTGGGAGGAGCCTCCCATTGCCATTACTACCGGTTCACAAGAACTGGACCAAACTGGGAGTAACCCTTGAGTTTTCTCAACTCATTGCCCTAATTGAGAAACACTGCTCTACACTGCAATGCCAATGTACTGCCTTCCTCAAGGTGGAGCAGAGATACATTGGTACAAAAATCGTACGTCAGTGTACACTGCCATCACAACCTTGGCAAAAAAGCCAGTATGTGTTATTGCTGTACATTACATACATACATACAAATGTACATATTTGTACAACCTTCATGTCAATATTGATTCCTGATGACTGAACACGTCCCTGTAATTTTCTTGTTATGATATTTTGAAGTGGTTTTCCTTTGCCTCCTTCCTATGGCTGGGAGAGAGAGACTGGCCCAAGTCATCCACCTGGCTTTGTGTCTAAGGCAGGATTAGAACACATAGTATAGTAGAATAACAACAGAATAACCAAGTTGGAAGGGACCTTGGAGGTCTTCTACTCCAAGCTCCTGCTCAGGCAGAAAATCCTATACT